TAATAATAATAATAATAATAATTCTGAAAAATACATTTCATACAAAGAGATGAAACAAACAAGAAATCCACTCTCCTGATCTGACAGCTACTCTCACTTTTTCAAAGTGACTCAACATTTTACAGCCAAAAACCTGCATAATTCTATGAAAAGCACCTACATATTTACAGTTTAATATAAAAGATAGAGGAGAGTATGCCAGATCTACATCTGACCTGCAACTTGTTCCACTCTACAACTGCACACATTTTAATTGGCCAGCACTAATCACTTTCATATATGTCATATGTGCAAATGTGACTGCATAAATTATTCACGATCCAATGCTGTATCTTGGGAATTCTCGGATGCGGGTTCTCTTTAGAGCCACTAGTTTCCTAATTGAGAACCATTTCAAGACACTGAAGAGCAAGGTCCATCTCCTCTGTGCTTTATCAACTGCAACAGCTGTGGTACGCTGCAATAAGAATCCATTGACAGCACTTTGTAGATCAGCTGGTGGTTCCAAAACGATGTTCTGGGGTTGCAGATCACTATCAAAGAATCCAAGATGATCCGCATCACTGAAAGCTTGACTGATGGATTCTGTGTCACATATTACCTGTCCTGGATATGTCAAAGATTGGTCGTATCTAAGACCTATATCTTCAATACCGTGCAAGGCAAAATCATCCAAGCCACTCACACCCCCAACGTTATAGATGGATGAAATGATATCAGGAGAAGAGGCACCTGGATGTGCATAGTCAATTCCAGCCATCTTTTGAGAAGCCAAAAGCTTGTTCCCATTAGAAATATCTGCACTAGCCAAGTCTAAAGAGTCACCAGGTAGGGAGTTTTCATCTTCAAAAGAGACAACTTCCTCCCAGTGCTCAAAAGCAGAGATTATCAAATTTTGAGCTTCAGCCTGATAAAAGAGATGACAATCAGAAGCTGTAAAAAACAGAATAGTAAAAGGGAGAGAACAAATAAAATCATGAGGTAAGGGAAGAGTGCCTTTTCAGTTTCAGACAGCTTATCAATAGGCACATACTGGCATTCTGAGAGTATTCCCAGCACTTGTCCAACAACATTGAAGACCACACCAGATTTCTGCTGAGAACCAGGACAGTACAAGTATATCCTCTTGTCAAGCACACATGTTCGTGCATGTTCGACGGTAACTTCCCACATCTTAGCAGACATCCCTGTACCAAGGATCTGCATATTTTCCAGAAAATAGATAGTTATGATTATTCTAGAATCCTCACAATTCTTGAATGAAGCAATTAGAATGTCACAATTATTCAAGGGAAGTCAGCATAGAACCTGATAAGGCTTAGAGTGAAGGAAGGATCTTAATAAAACTCATTTCATTTGATTAACCATTTACATTCTCACTACTGACGAATAGAATGTCTATTTAGTATAGCAATACCTTCTAGAGATAAGGGGCCCATCATGGAACCATAAGAAGCACAAACTAATTACAATAATCCCAATACACGTCAAACCAAGGTACATGCCAGGGCATATAACTCACAAGAATTGAATCTTATTTAGTCTGAAACACAGGAAAAGATGCCCTGTCATCCTTTCTTCTTAAGAAACCAAAATTTAAGGACTGAATTGGGGCTGGGAATTTTTGTAAGTAATGAAATATTAAGACTTCCAAATGCAACTTAAAAATGGGTGACTGAATCAGTTGTCTCTCTCTTCATTAGTTTCTAAGTCTTTAATTTTGAAGTCTAGAGAAAGAGAGGATATCCAATCTAAAACATAAACGAACTGAACTTTCAACTGGCAAAAGTAGAGTGAAATGAAAGTACTAAAGCCTTACATGTCTAAGTCGTGGAGGGTCTACAAAAAACACTGTCAAGAAATCTTTTACAGTCTTGATATTTTCCCGACTCAGGCGCTTGTGAAATGCTCCATCTTTGCCAATCTTTTCCAACCTCCATACCTCATCAAACAGAGATGGTGGATGATGCTTCTTATATACTGCAACCATAGCCAAAAGTTTAACAGTGTCTCTTATTAGTTCTCAATTTTCAGGCCTATCAACAAATGAAAATCCAGAGAACAGAAAATACAAAATTTCAATCATAAAATCAAGCAAACTTCACATATTATGCTAAGGTTTACAGCATAAATATATTCCTTTTGACAAATTTCAGTATTTTAATTTTACAGTGACAAACTAAACAATGAGGTCGTGAAGAATATTGGAAAAAATAATTAAAAATGAAAAGAAAAGAAACCAACAGAGAAAGAAGAGAGAGGCAAGGAACGAGCACATATTCGCAATTAAAGCCCATCTTTTTATTTTTGCCAGGGAAAAAAAAAAAGCTAGCCAAAGCATGCCATTTAATAAATGAAAACTTTAAAAAAATTGTTGCATTACTCACATTCACCACGATGATCCCTGACAATGAAGGATTCTGTCTTGGCTTCTCTTACTCTAGTTCCATCAGAGCCATCCACCACCCTTGCACCAAGTCTAAAACGACGGCTTCTTGTCCAGCTTGAATTATCTGTGAATGAAATCTCTACTACTGAACCTATGCCCTCTTTGAGTATAACAAATGCATCTCCATTAAGAAGGGGTTTCTTTCCCTCTCTTTCTCTTACTATGTTATTCTTAAATTCTTCGAGTGTCCAATTATCTTCCTCATCACCATCAAAATCTCCCTCTAGAACTACAATTTCCACCTTGGAAGAAGACTCAGGGCCATGCGTAATAATTTTTCCAGTAATAGCATCAACCAACGCTACTTTTAAAGCAGAAGATTCGTCACCTTCAATTCGAGCTCCAGTGAACACAGGAAGAGAGAGATTATTCAAGAACTGAAGTTGTAAGCTTCTTGATTCACTACCAGTTATTTCCTTCTCACTATTCCTGAAAAGAGGCCAAAAAGGGTGAACCATACACTTTAATTTAGAGGGAGGTGACGTTCACAATTTCCCATTGAAAAATTTCACATCTTTCTTGCTTTTTCCTTCCAGAAGAAATCTTACCTTCTAATGCTATTCAAATGCTTTCTAAGAGCCAATTCAACTTCCTCTTTAACCTGCAAAGCACAATACCATAATTTAGTACCAATTCCTAAGGCAAATCATTCAAATATTTAACACATCTCTGCAGAACCAAAGACTACTGAAGGACAAGGTCATGGGAGATCACTGCCTGGTAGTACGGACAAACACACTAAAGTATGTCCCAAATTTGCAAGAAAAAAGATTAAGTTCATTATCAAAGCCAAAGAAGTTAAAAAAAAGAAAAAAATTATTGCTTCTGCTGAACCTTTTAATATGCTTAAAGGCTGACTCAGGGTACAAAGCTAATTGCTTGAGGTGAACAAACATGCAAATTGAAAATAACTTAGGAGACATACATGTTTATTCCAAAGGCTTATGGATACAATTATGAAGAACAGAACAATCTTGCTGGGCCAACAGACTATTTATCATGACAGCTCAGGATTGCACCTCTGTTGTTTATAATTTTTGAATCCTAATATACTAATTTGTTCACAAGATGCTAGAAAAAAGAAATAGAATTAAGAAACCCAAAAATTAAACAAAAAAAAAAAAGGAAAAAAAAAGAAGAGGAAATCTGACCACCAAGTCAAGCTCAATTATCATTTCAATTTTCAATTTGCTCAGTGAACTAAACACT